CCCCACTTTTTTCATACCACAAAATAAATGTCTTATTTGTAGAGAGAGACCAAGATGGGTAGTCATGTTAGTCTGTCTGTAGCAGTAGAAAAGAGCAAGAGTCCAGTAGCCCCTTAAAGACTCACAAAATATGTGGCCGGGTAGGAACTTTCGTGAATCATTGCTCACCCCTTCAGATACCTGAAGACGTGAGCAGTGATTCACGAACGCTCCTACCCTGCCACATATTTTGTTAGTCTTTAAGGGGCTACTGGACTCTTGCTCTTTTCTACTTCTTATCTATACACAAAGTATGTCCATAACTTTCCACCCTGTAGTACAAATTTTCCATCCGTGATCAATGTTCCCTTTAAGCTGTGGCATCTTGTGAGCCAAAATTCTACTTTGTGAGCTACTAGCATTAAAGTTGTGAGCGAGCAATTTGGCTTCTGTATAAATCAGTTTGCTTTGGAGCCATTCTTCCTGAGCTAAGGCAAAAATGTGTGAGCCGGAGGTTAAAAACCTGTGAGCTAGCTCATACTAACTCAGCTTAGAGGGAACACTGTACCGTGATTAAACCTCTCACCTTAATTTATCGTTGATTATCAGTAATGGATTAATAACTGCACTCTTTACGTCATATATCTAATTCCAAACTTGGTCCTTGAGTGTGAAAGCCACATGATGAAGCCACATAGCACGTCACCTCCCCAAAAAGTGAAAACTAGAAAAGCTTTCGAGGGGTGGCTAGGATCCTTGAAAAGCTTGTGTAAAAGTCTGTGCCTATGCAGACATCAGAAGAAACTGATGTTGGGATGGCATTTGGGGGCGTTGTAGGGCTCTTTTGAATTGCTTTGCCCCCACAGGAGTTAAAAGGGAGGGAGGAGAAAGGAGAAGATATGGGAGCGGAAGGTGGAAAAGATGCAGGGGCAAAAAAAATGAGCAACCAGAGAAAAGTGGCAGTTCAGGGGGGGAAACCAAAAAGCTAGATGAGACGGAGGGAAGGAAGTAGGAAATGGGGAGAGGCCATGGGGACTGTGATGGGGAGGTAAGGAGAGAAAGCAGAGATAGTGTGAGTCCAGGGAACAGCGAGGGGGTGGATGAGATTTCCCCCAAGCAGGTCCTTTGCGGGTCTCTTGTTTGTACTTAACTGATACTGACCCACTGAGAAAATCCCGAGAATACGTTGCTGCTTTTAAGCAAACTGGCCCGTAGGAAGTTGGGCATCAGGGTGTAAGCTGGGAACTGAGGTTGAACTCAAGGTTCAGGATTTCACAGTGCGGTCCTAGGCAGAGTCACTCCAATCCAAGCCCGCTGAACTAATTCCACAACAAGGTGATGAGAACATAAGAACATAAGAGACGCCAATGTTGGATCAGGCCAAAGGCCCACCTAGTCCAACACTCTGTCACACAGTGGCCAAAAATACCAGGTGCCATCAGGAGGTCCACCAGTGGGGCCAGGATACTAGAAGCCCTCCCACTGTTGGCCCCCCCAAGCACCAAGAAGACAGAGCATCACTTGCCCCAGAGCCCCTATCTATACCTTGTGGCTAATAGCCACCAATGGACCTCTGCTCCATATGCTTATCTAATTCCCTTTTGAAGCCGTAACTGCTTGTAGCCGCCACCTGGCTTCTCCTGGCTTGCTCGGGGCTCCTTGCTATTAACAATAATAATTGTCAAGTCATAACCAACTTACGGTGACCCCATCATGGGGTTTTCAAGGCAAGAGATGAGCAGAGGTGGTTTGAAGCCACCCGCCTTTGCGTAGCGGCCCTGGACTTCCTTGGTGGTCTCCCATTCAAGTAGTAACCACGGCTGACCCTGCGTAGCTTCTGAGCTCTGATGAGCTCGGGCTTCTCTGCCCACCCCATTTCCAATTGACTCCTCCCGGCGCCACAAGACATACATGATTATCTCAGTTGTCTGCCGCAGCCGCTAGGTGCCCGTAGGCTTCACCCGCAATCGGCAGAGGTGCTGCCCCCTGTCTTCAAGGCTCCTTCCCCTCTCTCTGTGCATCTGAGCTTCCGAAGCCTCAGCAACCCATGAGAACCAAGGAGCAGTGAGGAGCGACGAAGGCTAAGAGCAAACAGGCTTATCAGATAGGATTCGAAGTAGGTTTACCGATTATCTCGGCGGAGCGGGGCAAGTAACCCCACAGAAAATGCACAACGATCCACAGAGCTCTAACTGGACCCAGCCCATGGCTCTCTTTTCCTGCTTTCCTTTTTACAGGGCTCTTGTACAATGAGGTTGGGGAACCGTAAGTGGCATCGGGCCACTTGACCGGACAAGAGCTAGAGTCGAGTCTGGTCGCACCTGGAAACCGACAAGATGTGCGGGGTATAAGCTTTCAAGAGTGAACGCTCCCTTCTGCTCCTGTTGGTCAGTAGGCGCTGCTGGACTCGAATCCAGCTCTTCTACTGCAGATCACCATGGCTGCCCTCTGAAACTTTCTTGACTGGACAAGGTCAAGATGACCGAGTCCCATATCCTGGCAATGGGAGTTATAGCACGTGCACTCCCCTTGACTGAAGAAGCTGGCTACCTCCTGTTGTAGATAGCAATCACACCCTCCTTTTGGGGTTTATTTATTTTTACTCAATTGCTTTGCCATTTAGTTTTGTCTGTGTGAGTTTCCCTCCCTTCAAGCCACCCAGGAACAAAATCCCCAAGCCCCAAATATGCCTGAAACAGGTCTGCTAGAATCAATACAGTCTGAAATTAGATTTTGAGTAGCAATTGTTAACAAACGAGAGCCGCCAAGCAAAGGGTTTGTCTCGTTCTGGTTTTCTCCTAACTCTTCACAGTTGTTTATGACAATGTCAGAATACATTTCCCCCCAGCGTCGCTGTCCATTTGCAGGTTCTCTTTCTTTATTTTCAGTAAAGATATTTTGATCAGCACAAGAGTTCATTATTTTTTTTTCTAATGGTGCCCGTTTGGTACGAGCGGGATAATCTGCCACCGTAAATGAATAATGCAAACGGTGCCTCGCTTTAGAAATGCAAATTGGGTGCGATAGGGAAAGCGGGGGTTTTAGCAGCTGACTTGGTAGGATTTTTATTAGCTTTCTTTCTAAATTGTTTATTAATGACCCTGGCTTCCATAGCTGAGTGCTCATGCTTAATGAGGAAGCCAGGTGAGTGAGATTTTTGAGAGACGCAGGGCTGCTACCGGTTGCCAGCACAAAGCAACTGGAGCTGAACACGTACACAGGTAATTTCTGTCTCCTCATTCAGAGTGCTGGGAATATTGTTTCCCGTAATGAAATGAAGTACATTTTTAATGATCGGACGGTTTTATGCTAAAATTCCAGGCTAAGACAAAATGTACAGCCGCATGTCATGAAAAAATCTCACTAGCTTGGAAGCACAAAACATCCGCTTTGCTATAAAAATTTTAAAAATCAAGCCTGTGAAATGTGGTCCAAATGTTCTCCAGTTCAGAGTGAGGGCAGGGAATGTTGCCCTCACTCTGATTTGTCTTGACCATGCAGGCAGATCTGATTGGTTGGGTTGCACCATGGCATCATTATGTAGGCTGAATGATCCCTGATTGGCTGGACCCAAGTAGTACTAGCTTCCTATATTTTTTTAGAAAATGGCACCGAAGGAGCTGCTGAAGAGGAGGTTGAGATTCCTAGAAACTCTGCTTTTCCTCATCCGAAATGTCTGCCTGTGGGATTTTTTCTTCCCTCTTGTCCTTTGCGTTCACTTTCAAAACATGTTAATTTCATTGTCATGCTCAAGTGTCTGAACTCTGTCCTCAAAGTGTTGTCAGTTTACTTCCCAGAGCACGGGAGGGCTTTCAGAAAGCCGAAAGGCAGAGGTTTTTAGCTGATATATTTCTTAAAGTTGAAACGTAGCAGCCAGAGATTTAAAAAAGAAATAATACTGCCAGAAACATCGTTTTCAAGAGTGTCACTGACGCTGCGTTTCCTTTTGTATGTACCAATTTCTGTTCTCCCATCGCATCTGGGAAGCAGGCTTTGCAAGTTTCTTCCCTTACATTATAATGACAGGAAGTTTTGCTAGCATTAATAGCTCCATTGGTAGGCCAGATCCTCAGAGGAGTGGATGATAGCGGATGTGGAGGAGCTGTGGCTCTATGGTAAAGCATCTAGTTGGCACGCAGAAGGTCCCAGGTTCAATCCCCGGCATCTTCAGTTAGAAGGACCAGATATTAGGTGATGTGAAAGACATCTGCCAGTCAGAGGAGCCTGTACTGACCTCAATGGGCCAAAGGTCTCATTCGGTATAAAGCCGCTTCATGTATGGTGTAGTCAATGTTCCCTCTAATCTGTAGAGTCTTGTGAGCAAAAATTCTACTTTGTGAGCTACTGGCATTAAGGTTGTGAGCGAGCAATTTGGTTACTGCATAAATTAGTTTGCTCTGGAGCCATCCTTCTTGAGCTAGGACAAAAATGTGTGAGCCAGAGGCTAAAAAACGGTGAGCTAGCTCACACTAACTCAGCTTAGAGGGAACACTTGGGTATAGTGGTTAGAATTCTGGACTAGGATCCAGGAGGCCCAGGTTTGAATCCAAGAAAACTTGTTGGGTGGCCTTGGGCCAGGTCACTCTCCCTCTCTCAGCCCAGCCTGCCTCACAAGGGGGTTATTGTGGAGATAACATGGATGGTGTAACCTGCTTCAGGTCTCTATTGGGGAGAAGAGGGAGACATCGATCATAAATTCTCTTAGGTTTGTTATGAATAGTTTTTAAATGATGTAATTACCCAAAGTCCTTTGGGGAAAGGATGGAAACATGCCAAAGCAGATAACAGGAATATTTCTGAAAAACACTGTCTAACAAAATGTCATTTGAAAACTCTGGGAGACCGGCCATGTTGGAAGAACTTCCACTGTGACATAATCTGTACAGCAGTGTCTTCTTTCTCTCGTTTTGCTTGTGAATGTTCAGCGTAAGTCTCTCTGGTTGTTCTACAGCTTCTCTGTCTGTCTATCCGTCCATCTCATGACTGATTGCTTTGTCTGTTGTTGTTCTTCGGTCCCGTAGAACAAACATGAGGAAGATGTGGAGTCCGGGGAAGATTCGGTCATCAGCAAACGCCAGAACCGGTCCCTGATGGGCAGCTTTTCCAAGCGCAAGGTTGTTCGTTTATTCGTGGAATCCCCTCCCCCGCAGCCCTGTCCCACACGACTGTCTTCAAATTCAACATCTCCAGAGTCCGAACTCTAAAACGTTAGAATAGAAAAGGGCAACCATTTATCAATTGGATGCTCCTTTTAAAAACGTCCCATCCAGTGGTCGGAGTTTAGGTTAAGTTGGGTTTATATCCTGAGAACATTTCTTGGGATTTAGATGAATGTGAAATCGACATGCATCTAGCTATTTTCCAGAACAATTTTTCCAGTGATAGAATAAAACTTTCCTTTCCCCCTTCCTTCCACTGCCTCCTACTGATCTCCATACAATGCTACTCCTGGGGGAACAGGGCTCCTGAGAAATGATCTACGGGAAGTCTGAAGTAGGAAGGGGGAATAATAGAAATTGCCAATTCAGTCTGGATCCAAGTTCCAAGCCAATGATGTAGATTTCTGAGTGTTCCTGAGGGTTTGTCCATTTGGAGCTTTGTGTTGAGAGAAGTGCTATTGCAGGAAAAGGGTAACATCCCCTCCCCCCGAAACCCTTGAAGGTGTAAAAACCCTCTTCACAGGTATCATTCCCCTAACCCATTGCGGCCTCCATACTGTTTCTTTCTCCTTCCTAGAACGATCCCAGCCAATCAGGGAGCATATAGTCAACCTGATTCCATCACATCACCTTGTATTCTATTGGATTTGGCCACATGTTGATGTCACTGAGGACAAAGGAAGCCCATTTAGAGTGAGGGCATTGCTTCCTGGATTGGTCATGAGGGTATCAGTTATAGCCTTTGTGATGCCAGTTCCAGAGAGGTCCTCCTAGCTCATTTCCCCCTGGTCCAGCCAGTTTCTCTTCATTCCTTGTGACTCACTTGAATAATGACTTAGGACACAAGCAGCTGTAAAATTCCGCTCGAGCACCCCACCGAACAGCAGAATGACTTATGTCAACAGAGTTATTGCTATCAAAGAAAATCCATTTCCAAAGCCTTTTCTGCTCTTAGCGATAACTACCACTCCCTTGATGGCATTACAGAGCTTTCAAACTACAGGTCTCTAATCCCTGCTGTCGGCCGGCATGTTAAATCCTGATTCCTGGGGTCCACTTGGCAAAGGCATATTGTCTTTACAGTTTGTGTTTTTGGGAAGGTGCTGAAGATCAGCAGTCAGGCACCTGTTTTGCAAGCAAAATGGTCTCTAAGTCCGTCAGTAGCATCTCCAGCTAAAAAGATGTTAGGAAGCAGAGCTGGGAAGGACCTCAGCCCGAGGCCTCGGAGAGCGGCTGCCAGTTGGCAGAGATGGTATCGGGGTTAAGCTGGATTAAAAAAGTGGTTTGAACCAGGGGTCGTTTTGTAGAAAAAGAGCTAGGGGGTCTCATTAGCATAACTCATTAGCATATGCCACACACCCTGACATCACGGGAAGTGTGTCATAAGGCCACACACCCTGCCCCCAATGGTACCGGCCGCCCCCAACGGCCTTGCAGCTCAACTGCCGAGCCCCTTGAGGGGCCCGGCGGTGGACCTGCAAAGCCGGCGGGAGTGCAAGGAAGCCCCGCGAAGGCCCTCCCTGGCCCCAGGCAGGCAGGGGTGGGGAGAGGCAGGGAGGAAGCAACTTACCCTCCCTCTTCTCCTGCCTCCTCCTGGCTGAATGAGGGCCGGAAGCGGGGCGGCCGGAAGCAGGGGGCGGGGCTTCGTCATGTGCCCCGCCCCCCGTACCTCACCCGGGGGGACTGCGATCCCCCCCGAAATGACCTCTGGTTTGAACCAGGATTCACGTGGCAAATGCTTTCAAGGAAGGGCCGCATCTCATTGACAGAGCACATATATTGAATCAGAGAATCCCAGAGTTGGAAGGGGCCACACAGGCCATCTAGTCCAACCCTTTGCTCAATCAAGATCAGCCTAGAGCATCCCTGACAACTGTTTGCCCAGCTGCTGCTTAATAGAATCTCCTCCCATGGCTCCTGCTGCTGAGCTGTATCTGAGGAAGTGGGCCTGCACACGAAAGCCTATACCCAGAATCAAACTTTGTTGGTCTTCAAGGCGCCACTGGATTTAAACATTGTTCTATGAGCCATTTCAGTGAGAGACAGGAATTCGAGCAGTGGTTCCTGTTAGGGATCTCTATGTAAACGCAGAGTGAATAAACTCAGCAGAACACTTGTATTCGCTCTGAAGAAGAAACTTTACTAATGAGGGAGATTAAAATTTTAAAAAATACAGGGAAATCATTCTGTCTAGCTGCACTAACCTACCGCTTTACTCCGGCATTTTCTAAGCCTCGTGTGAGGACGAACTAGAGAAGAAGAGCGATGGAATTGAAACCCAGTGCTTCCTCTCTAAACCACCCCCAAAGTATTGATTAGGCAATTGGAGAACCCCAGTGCTAACTAATTATGCGTTTTGTCACCTTGCTGTGGCTGGCTTTACCACTGGGTCCCTAAATTAACTCACTAGGACAAAAGCATGCATAAAACAAGCAGTTAACCCTTTCACGACTATGGAGAGAGAACTTGTAAATCCCAACCGTTCCCAACCTTTTTGAGCCTCTGGGCTTCTTTGGAATTCTGACACAGGGTGGTGGGTGTAATTCAGGGTATTACCCTGGGAGCAGGGGTCCCCCCACTTTTGGGGGCCCCAATCCGCCAACAGTCGGAGAGCCCTGACCAGCAGGGAGAGCCCCACCCCTGAAGAGCCCCGTCATACTCAACGTGGCGATGTGAAGTTGTCACCCATAGAGTTTTTTGCCCAAATGCTAGAGCATCCCCTGCACAACATGCCTGGTGCAATAATGTCACTTCTGGGTGATGTCATCATGGTGCGTGCACCAGAAGATTCCCCACTCCTCCATTTGCAGCTGCTGGATTAGAGAAATTAGAAAAGTCCAGAGTGAATAATAATGTTGAAAATTCACCAATGGTTGGACACTACATGCAGGCAGGTCATAGTGCGAATGAAATGAAGTTTATAATTTTATACTGCCAACAAAAAAAGCCCTTCCAACAACTAAATATTGAACAAATCCTTTTGCAAAAGGAAACTAGATTCATTTACAATTTAAAGACATATCATCCTCATGGTATGAATCAGAGTATGGATTTTACACCTTATATCAATCAATGATAGTTGCCCAAATGAAACTTAAATATGTTGTTTTAAGTGATGGCAGTTCAGTGCACTTGCTGCTTCTGGATTTTTGAGCAGTATGCATGACACTATGACCTTTTAAGAAACTTTGCCTGTGTTGATGCATCCTGAAATTAGGTATAAATTAAGGTGCAGCACATGGCAGGTTAAGGACCCTTAATCCTCCTTGACTGACCATTCTGGCTTAGCATATGCCAGCTTTTGAGACTGGGGTGAGTTTTCTTTGCAGCTCCTAACTTTTCTAATTTCTCTAATTTTTCAAATATTTATATCCTTGTATGCATTCTTACTTGTGTATTGTTCCAATATCTATATTTTGTACGCATTCTCATTTGTATATGCTTTGAATTTGCATTCAGTCCCATTACAGCCATGCTTGAATAATAATAATTCGAAACGCGGCTTCAGGCATCCGGATTATGCGTCGGCTATTGATGGCTCAGAAAATTTGATGATTGGCACTCCAATTTGGACTTTGATATTGCTCCTATGCTGGAGAAGACTGTGACTGTTTCTACTATGATTTATTATTGCACTTTGGCCAATTGATTTATATCATACTTGTTGTTATGCTTATTTGATTTATATTATACTTGCTGTTATGCTTATTTGATCATTATATACTTGCTTAATTGCTTGTGAGTTATTTTTTGCCAAGTGGTCTTCTTTTTTTGTTTCTTGCATTGTACACTGGCTCCCCCCCCTTTTTTGGCTGCGTGTATCAAACACCAGCAAAACCTATTTTATTGGAGAGGACAGTGGGACTAAAGAAGTCAGCCTATGCTCCATGAGAAATGACGACTCTGTGTTTCCAGCAGCAGCCCTTTGAAGGGTGATTGTCCATCTCCAAGTAGATATAATCAGATTATTATTATCATCATCATCATTATTATTATTAACAACAACAACAACAACAACAACAAACTTTATTATTATTGTACATAGTACAACAAAATTAAAGATGCAATCATTTCAGTGATCTACAACAATATTTATATACACTCACACACCATTCACAACTGTCCCATAACTCCCTTAAGATTCACATAGCAACTTAAAACCACCAATGTCACCCAAATTCCAATTTCATACAGCATTTAAGGCAATAATAGCTCTCGAATAAAAACTATTTTTAATCTATTTGTCCTTGTTTTAATTGTCCTATATCTTCTGCCCGAAGGCAGCAGTTGAAACAGGGAATGTTCAGGATGTGACAAGTCCTGCAAAATGTTTTTTGCTTTTTTCAAACATCGAGAACTATACAATTCCTCCAGGGATGGGAGAGGGCAGCCAATGATCTTCTGGGCTGTAATAACAACTCTCTGGAGTGCTTTCCTCTCCACAGCCGTACAACTGGCAAACCAGGCACAGACACAATATGTTAAAATGCTCTCTATTGGGGTTTCTCAGTCGTGGCAGTTTGCTAACTCACTGTCTTCTGCATCCACCTGCAGTTGTGCTGAAAGTATCAGCTGCAGCTTCTCACCCTCCTTGTCTTCCTCCACAGAAAAAAGGCAGCAAACTCAAAAGAACACCGAGCGTAGAAGAGGGCGAAGACGACCTTAACTGTCAAGGAAACTTAGGCAGGGCCTCGGTGCATTACAACAAGTAAGTGGCAATGCATTCTGGGTAACATACAAGTTCACGTACACATACAATCAGATCCTGGGCCAAACTCTTGGTCAAGCTTAACTGCAGCTCCATCTGTCGGAGAAGAGATATTTAAGACCCAATGTGGTAGTTTAGAGTGTCTGATGTTGAAGACTCGGGTTCAAACCCCCACTCGGATTACTGGCTCACTTTGGGCCAGTGGTTCTCTCCCAGCCTTGGTTGAGGAGAAAAGAGGAGGGGGACCATCCAAAATTCCTTGGAGCAAAGATGGGATACAGACCTCATAAATAAAAGTTTTAGAATGCAATTTTCTGGCCTCATGTTTGTAGTGTGAATTCTGAAAATGTAAAGGCCGTACAATGAGACAGAACCTGGAACATGAAGGAGAAGAAAAGCATGTCTGCTCCTGGGCAAAGTTTTAATCTCTTCAGTCCTGTGAATTGCAGAACTAGTCCTGAGAAACTAGTATCTGAAGAAGTGAGCAGTGACTCTTGAAAGCTCCTCCCCTGCCACATATTTTGTTAGTCTTTAAGGTGCTACTGGACTCTTGCTCTTTTCTACTAGTTTCCTGAGAGTCCAAAATTCTGTTTCCACTCAGTTTGGTAGTTTAAAAACAGCTAAGTATATAGATTTTTCTCATTGTCCTTTGTTAGGATAATTTAGTTTAGGGGTTGTTCTTTCTATTTTTTTTTAAGCCGTTGAGGGTTTCTCTTGATTATACACATTCACCTTTTCAAGTAATATTCTAGTTGTCCCTTTCTCCCTCGAATCAGACTTTGCCATCTTGTCCCCGCAGAACGAACCGGCAGAAGAAGACGATGAAGCTGTCTCGTGCACTCTCAGACCTCGTGAAATACACCAAATCTGTTGGGATCCATGATGTGGAATCAGAAAGTAGGTGGAAATGATGAGTCTGCTCCACACAGAAGGAGGAACAGAAGCGAGCAGCCACGAATCTGTTTCGCACAGAGGTCTTCGCCAGTCTGTGTCATGTTCCTTCTGTTTCAATGGAAGACGGCTTTGTTGTTCTCACTCTGAGAGAGAGAGACTGGCACAGTTGAGATGTTGTGCCAAAATTGTGGTTTAAAAAGCTCTTCTGCTATGATTGTCTGAACTGACAAACTATGGTTTGTGACACATCAGCAAACCAGAGTTGGAAACTGTGATTCTGCAGTCCATGGTTGATGCCAACTGCAGTTTGAAATGATGGTCAGAATTGCTAAACTAGGGTTTGCAATTGGTTGACAGACAGGAATCAGAAACTTACGGTTTGGAGAGTGTTAGCAAACTAACAAACTAGCGTTACAGTGATCACTCCTCCTCCAGAGGCTGAATTTAGGAGGGCAGCGCCATCTTAAGTAGAGTTGCACCATTCTAAATCCATTGTCTTCAAAGGAACTTGCCACCTCCCTGTCTTGCCTCACTGTGGGTCAGTTGGGGGGAGCGAGGAGGGTGCGTAGCAGGCCGGCCCAGGAACTGCTGCCCGATCTCGTTATAGCATTGCACGAACTCCTGCACCTGGCCTCACCTGAATGTTTCTGGAACATTTGTAGTGGCTCTGTCATTTCTCCTCTCAAGTTTTGGTTACACTGCTGAAAGTGTTTGTGGTCCTCAAAGAGGCAACCCTCTCCCTCTTCTTGTTCCAGTCTCCTCCAGTTGGCAGGTTTCGTCCTTCAGTGAGACGAAAGCTCATCAGATCATCCAGCAGAAGCCGGTCCACTATCTGCGTTTCAACCAACAGCAGCTCTCCCGGATCTATCCCTCCTCCTACCGAGTGGACTCCAGCAATTACAACCCCCAGCCCTTCTGGAATGCCGGTTGCCAACTGGGTAAGGGTGAAGAATTGAGGGCTATGTAGGGGGGAGCATCTCTGTGTATTTGTTTACGAGTTTGCCAGCCGTTTCAGTCCTCAGCTTTTTGCTCTTGGTTTGCACTGTGTACACAGAATGTTGAGTTAGTCTGATTCAGTACAAGGCAGATGCACGTGTACTGATGGCAGGTTGCCAACTTTGGGTTGGGAAATACCTAGATATTTTTTTGGAGGGGGGAGCCTTGGTAGGATGGGGTTTGTGGAGGGGAGAGACCCTCAGCAAGGTACAATGCCAGAGAACCAATCTTCCAAAGCAGCTGCTTGCTCCAAGGGAACAGATCTTTGTTGCCTGGAGCTCAGTTGTAATACCTGGAGCTCTCCAGGCCCCACCTGGAGGCTGGCATCCCTAGCTGGTGCATCCTCAGCTGTGTCAGTGGGTCAAAGAACAAGCCCTCCCTGGGAGCATTTAATGGTGGTGGTGGGGAATTGCTGTGAGGAAACAGAGAACGGCACACAGATAAGGAATCGGGGGCAATTTCCACAAGGCAGAAGGGAAATCAGATCCAGGATTTCGCAGCAGCAGGCACAGACAGGAAAAATTTGCACCTTTCCCTAGAAAAGAGCATATTTGTTTTCCCATTAAAGGAGTAAAATCCATAGCGATGAGAACAGAACTGCTTGACTGGAAATTGGTTAAAGCTTTGTATTACCCACCTACAGACACAGGTACAAAGGCTGTTTTGAGCAAAAGGGTCACCCCCCCCCAGCCTCCAAGAGAAACTTTGAAGTTGCTTCTCTTTTCATTTAATGACATTTGCATTTATCACTTTTCTTAAAATTAACTTGTGGGGAAATAGTCAGGGTCCCTCCCCCTTCTTGCTTTGTGTTTTCTCTTTGACGATGTGAACGCTTCGTATTTTCACCCTCTTTGAAAAAAAAATTCTAATTTGCCTTTCAGTCCTTTGGAATTTGTCTTTCATTCTATGGAGGGGAAAGTTGGAGAAAAAAATTACCTTCCTTTTCAGCCCAATGTTACCTCCCAGTGCTGCTGAAAGTAACCTAAAACCAATCCTAGATAAGAACATGAGAGAAGCCATGTTGGATCAGGCCAGTGGCCCATCCAGTCCAACTCTCTGTGTCACACAGTGACCAAAATCCAGGTACCATCAGGAGGTCCACCAGCAGGCACAGAACTCCAGAAGCCCTCTCACTGTTGCCCCCCAAGCACCGAGAATACAGAGCATCACTGCCTCAGACATAAGAACATAAGAGAAGCCATGTTGGATCAGGCCAATGGCCCCATCCAGTCCCACACTCTGTGTCACACAGTGGCCAAAACCCAGGGGCCATCAGGAGGTCCACCAGTGGGGCCAGAACTCGAGAAGCTCTCCCACTGTTTCCCCCAAGCACCAAGAATACAGAGCATCACTGCCCCAGACGTAAGAACATAAGAGAATGGCCGATCCAGTCCAACACTTTGTGTCACACAGTGGCCAAAACCCAGGCGCCATCAGGAGGTCCACCAGTGGGGCCAGAACTCCAGAAGCCCTCTCACTGTTGCCCCCCCCCCAGCACCAAGAATACAGAGCACCACTGCCCCCGACAGAGTGTTCCATCTATAGGAACACAAGAGAAGCCATGTTGGATCAGGCCAGTGGCCCATCTGGAGCAACACTCTGTGTCACAGAGTAGCCAAAGCCCAGGCGCCATCAGGAGGTCTACCAGTGGGGCCAGAACTCCAGAAGCCCTCTCACTGTTGCCCCCCCCAAGCACCAAGAATACAGAGCACCACTGCCCCAGCTATATAATGGGAAAGGCACTCAATGGTGTGTGTAATAAGTGAGGCAGTAATAGGGTGGCACTGCACAAAATGGTTTTACAAACTTGCTTGGATAAATGAAAGGGACTGTGGTCTATACTGCTGTGTGTAGCTTATGGTAAGTAGGATCCTGTTTATATGATTTCTGTACCACTTAATCTTCGTGTGAATGGTTGTGCTGTGCGTCAGTTCTTACTGGCGGTTCCGGACTTCTAACATCCTAATGCATGAGTTATGGAATGCCTCATCTTTTGACTTTATCAGCTCACTTTGAGTCCCTGTGAGACAGGCGGACTGTAAATCAGATGAATAAATAAACAATTAGATAAGTATATTGTGTTTTTAAATTTTAAATTGTATTTATTATAATGTGATGTTACCTGCCCTGAGCTTGTTCGCGGGATGGGCGGAATATATATACAATTTTTTTCTTGCATGTGGAGGAGTGAGGAATCAAACCCAGTTCTCCCAGATTAGAGTCCACACTCCTAACCAGACAGACAAGCCTTTATTGGCATATATATATACACACACACATACACACACACAATTGTAAAGTAGGCAATTACAGATCAGAAAGTACAAAATCCATATAAGGTAAAATTGGAATTGCAACATATAAAAGCAGAGTAACAGCATTAAAAAAAACAACCCAATACTTAGTGAGGTAGTCAGATCTCTGCCTCCAAATCAGGAAGTAGCTGAACATAGATACTGTGGCAAGAACCTTCTCTTCCCTACAGAATTTCTCCCCACCTGGATTCGCGCTAGCCAGCATCCAAGACGTTCTCCAGCCCTTTCATTTTCAAATGCCTCTTCCTCCCGTTCTGAGCAGTCAGCTTTGCCTCCAAAAACACTTCATGCAATTGATTGTCTGGTCTGCCCCCCCCCCCCCCATAGCATAC